CCTGAACCTGTCTCCACCCTAAAAATTAATATAACTGTTTTAGATTTTTGGTGAAAGTTCTCTGTAGGAATTTAACAGGTAACATGCTGAATATGATTTAATGACAATACATACCTGTTTTGCAAATATCTGAAAACAACACAGAAATCTAAAACGGTGTGTAAATATTAGTAATGGGGCCAGTCTTTATCCCACAAAGACTAACTGTATGTTCCCCACTCATATAAATTCAGTCCTGTATAATACTCCTAGACAGCTATGTGCTGGTATAATGAAAAATGAATTGCAAATATTACTCCCCTAATCCATTCTTTCTTCCTTCTAAATTGTAGGTTTTGTGTTTTCTTCTCTTTTTAATAAGTTGTATTGCTGTCCAAAAAATAGAGCTTAAATGAAAAATGTCTTTAACTGCAGATATTAAAGTCTGTATTAAGCATATCTATTAATTTGCTTTTAAAACAAAATACTATCAGAGAGAAAGTGATAGGATTTTGAGTTGAGAACTACTTAAATTGGTGGAGGGTACACTTTTATACATACATTATCAGCAGCTTTGAATTGAATGGATTTGTATAGAACATGCCAGACCATGTCTTTTATGAAAGCAACTGAAAGCAGCAGCGTGTAGCAGTATGTACTGCACTGAGTATAGTTTGCGAGCACAAACTCCTGTATCTACAATTACATTTAAGGTCATCTAGACTAAGCCCTGTGGCTTTCTATAAGATTTTATTTTTATTTACTGACCAGAACTGTAGCAACTGCTGTAGTTTATCCAGAATTAATCATATATCTCTTCCTGAGTTTGTCTCCAACTATGGACACTGGAGAGGAGGAGTAGGTGCCTGGAGGTGAAGAATTAAGGAACAGAATCTTGTATTGTCATGGGAAGAAGAATTTCTGTGCCCAGAGTGTGCAAAAACAAGCTCCTAAATAAAAAGGGAGGCTGAGATACTAGCAGTAGAGTACAGTTGGTACCATACCAGGTCCTTACGACAAACAGGCTCAAGATGGACTGCTATTGCGTCTAAAAAAAGGCATTCTCAGTGTAGACAACTAGAAAGTTTATGTCTGAGAAGGGACCCCTTTGTTGATGCTGTCAATATAGATCTTACCTTAGAAGACTAGCAGAATTTTGTATGGAACTGAACTTTCTAGAATCTCAAAGGTTAGAATGGTGAGATATTTTCCACTTTCTGCCCTTGCATACCATCTTCCATAAGATATAGAAAAGTGGCTTTGCTAAAGCTAGTCTGCTTCATGTGTATTGCAACATAAAGAGCACTGAGAGATTCCACAACTAGATAGCATAGCGTTAAGTATAGTCAGTCTTCATTTACCTTGTTCATTCATGACTCTGTGTAGCCACACCAAACATAATATGGTATTCTCTCTCATGAAACATTGTTTATTATAATTTCTATTCTTCCCATACACTCAGAAGCTGCACTGAAAAGTCCAGTATCTGATTAGAGAATTTTCTAAGCAGGTTTTTCCAAAAAACTGTCCTGTTTTTTTAAATATTCACTATTATTTTTACTTAGCAGGCCTGTAAGATCAAGGCTCCATTATTCCAAATATTGTATGAATATGGAACTTAAAGAAATTATAGTCTGTCTCAAGTAACTTGCAAATTAAATGATGTAATTCTGAAGTAGTTCTTCTGTCTGCTCATTGGGCATACTGATTTTAATTTCTAATATCATGGAATGTCCCTAAAGTGGAATCATATTTGACACAAACCTTCCCTTTCTTGTGGACTGCTAAGATTGTTGACATCTAAACATTACTTGTACTAGCCAATAGTTTTGGAAGAGTGATTGTAACTTTTCAGTGAGTAGCAGCAAAGAGGAAAAGCTAAGCACGGGTTTTGTAAAGCTCATTTAAAGTCTATTTTTTCAAGCAATTTCAAACACCTGAAGGTGTTAGAGATTAAGTGAAGTAACTGTATCTGAAACGTTAGAATAAACACTAATAGAGATGGGTAAATGGGAAGAGTACCTGTGATCAACTATCAGGGATATCAATCTTCAAAATTGCATCAGCTCACTTGAGTACTGAAGTTTCCTTTTTGTTTTACGCTTGTCGTCTTGATTAAGCTAGAGTGTTCTGCATTTAAATCAGTAGGAGTGTAGTCAGCTAATCAAGGAAAGTGATTATTCCCATAATAGCATTTATTATACCACATTTAAATACTATGAGCAGTTCTGGGTCCCCCAGTACTTGAATAAACTTACGCAAGGGTCACTAAGCTGCTTGGAACCTGGAGCACAAGACTTGTGAAGAGAGACTGGGCTTTTTTAACATCGGGCAGGAGGCGTTTTCCCACTAGGTACTTTCTAATAAGAGGAACTGATCAAAAAAGATGGAGTCAAGCTCTTTCTAAAGCTGCATAGTGCTTTATACTTTGAAACAAGGGAGGTTCCAGCATGACCTAGAGAAAAAAAAATCATTATTAAGATAATTTAATGCAGGAATATGTTGCCCAGAGAAGCTGTGT